GGTTAGACTTATCAAAGAAAATCATATGTGTCCCCTTCATGCTCGAAACTGTGTCCTTGGATCCATGACACTGTATCTCAAAGTAAACCCTGTGCCAATTTACCATCTTAAATCTTAACAATAAGCAGAATTATCTCAGAGGAGGAATGCAGTCAAAGCAGACCACAAAGTCTTTGCTCTCCCAAATCTGTACTCTCCAGTCTCTATTTCAAATAGCACAGGAGAAAAGCCAGGCAACTGCTTGTTACTAGAACTATCTTTCAGCTGGGAATAGTGGTGCACACCTTTAATCCCAGCACTCAGGAGATAGAAGTAGACAAATCTCTTAAATTCAAAGCCAGCCTGGTCTACATTGTGAATTCCAGAATAGCTAGAGCTACATAGACACTGTCTCCAAACAAACAAACAAACAAATAAACAAACTTTCCTTTCAGCACCCTTCCTCTCAAAAACAGATGTACAGCATTTTCAAATCTGCCCAACTTGCTGCCCTAAATTCTTGTCTCCTAAAAGAGAGAGTCATCAACCTCACCTCTTTCCCCAACCCCCAAATAAACAGCTGCTTAGACAGCAGATCCCCTAGAAGGAGGATAACCTTTGCAGAGAGGCTACAGAGGTGGCTTACTGGGGGCAGAGCAGACAGAAACAGCTTAGCCTACTATACTTGCAGATGAGCTGGGATACTTCAATTTAGTGCTTTTGCTGTTTCTCTGGCCCTGCTTGCACAATGGCCTTGTTGTTTTCTCACTGAGCTATATTGCAAGCCTGGATAATGACCTTTGTTACTCTTCAAATCTTACATGTTTTGTTTCTATTTCACAAGCAAATTTATTGAGTAACTACTTGGAGGAACAGTTGGAAGCAAGGTTAAAAAGTAGGCAGACAGGACAGAGTCAGCACAGAGAGCAGGTCTGCAAGGTCAAGCCCAGGGGCTGAAATTGATCTGCTTGCTGGTCAGTGAGAACTTGGTGCCAACTGTTGTTATTTCCTTGTTCTAGCTGTCTTGCTTCCTCACAGAGTGGGCTGTTCTAGGGAGGAGAAAGCATAAACTGCTAGTCTTTCAGAGTTAAAAACAAATTTACTATCCATTCCAAGATATGAGGCCTATTACTACTGTCTGGCAGGGGACTGAGTGTAACAATAGCAATTTTGAAAGGATCAGACATTAGTCAGTTGTAAGAGACCTATCATCAAATAAGAAGGTAAAGAGCCCTTTGTTCTGTCACATAACAAATGCAATTATTATCTGCATAGCTTAAAAGTCAATGGCTATTATCACCCTGGGTAAAATCATAGGTTCAGACCTGGGCACAAATACCCCTGAACTTTCTGCTTCACCTGAATGCCCTTGAACTTTCCCTTTCAACCAGCCAGCTATGAGTAGCAATCACAAGTTATATAAACAAAGAACACTTGCATAAGCTTGGGAATGAGTTATAAATACCACCACCACAAATTTAATTGGCAAGCCTATGGCTTGGGCGGGGAGGGCAAAACAGAACACTGCACATTTAATTGGGTGAGTGCACAATTACATATACTTCCAGGGCCCACCCTTTAGTTGATCTATCTCTTCTTCTGCACCAGAGAGGTCAGTGGCCTCTAAGTCTCAACATGTTTCTATAATCTCCTATGATAAAATGCATATACCAGAATCTGGTGTGGGAGCACACACATGTAATTTCGGCTCTTGGAAGGTGGAGTCATGATGACAGAGAGAGAGTGAAGATATCCTGGGCTACATAGATCCTTCCTCAAGAAACAAACAAAAATTATACATACAGTTCTAATAAAAGCTCCACCCCAGCCCTAGCATCCATACACCCAAAGAGTCTGGAATGTTCTGGTGGAAGCTCCACCGCAATCCCCCTCCCCAAACCCTGCTTCATCTCAGAAAGTCTGCCATAGGCGGCTCCTCCTGGGAGACGCCCAGGACCACACATACCTGTTACTTCAGGCTATTTAAGACCCAGTCCATAGATCTGCCATGTATGCTCTCATGTTCTCTTTTCCTGCCTTCCTGAGAGTCACCCAGGGGTACATTGCTTTGCATTGCCCTGTTTATTAAATCTGGATTTATTAATTCGATTTGATTTGGCTTATTGTGGCGGCGGCAATGGAGGAACCCAGCACCCAAGGATCCAATACCTAACAGTAAGAAACTAAAATTTCCTTACTTTATTTTACTTTTAATCCTGTGTTTATGTGTGTGAGGGTGTGTTATATTCGTGTGGGTGCCTACAGAGGCTAGGTGTCAGTTCCCTAGAGTGGCAGGCAGTTGTGAACCACCTGATGTGTATGCTGGGAACAAAACCCAGGTCCTCTGCAAGAGAGTTAGTGCTCCCAACTGCTGATGCATCTCCCCAGCCCCAGGAGCTACAATTTAAAAAGAAAAATTTGAAAGTTGGAATTATGTGTGTATAACCCCAGCAATGGAAGGCAGAAGCAAGAAGCTTGCATGGTACCAAATCTCAGGCCAATCTGGTCCACGTGGTGAATTCCAAGTCAGTGAGAGGAATATAGTCAGCCCTTCAACAGGGGGAAAAAAGGGGTTATAATGTTAAGGATGGAAGATTTGAAGATAAATGCCAGAGTGGCTGGATACTCAAAGAGATGGAAGCAGAGTTCTTATCACTGTGTTTACTGTCTCTCTTTCTAAATTCCATAGTTTAAAAAATAATTTTTATTTTAAATTTTATATTTCACCTTTGCGGTGCCAGGAGTTGAAACTACAGTCCTAGGCATGTTAGGCAAGTACTCTGTTGCTGACCTGTAAGTGGTGTTGATTTTAAAGTCTTAAGAAGAAATAAAATTAAATGAACACTAAACTCTAAACAACTTATGTGTCAATTTCCCCACCTTTTTGTGTTGGGTTAGCTGTCTATAAATATTTTTTTGTGTTTTGTTTTGTTTTTCGAGACAGGATTTCTCTGTGTATCAGTCCTGGCTGTCCTAGAACTAGCTCTTAGACCAGGCAGGCCTCTGATCTCTCAGAGAGATCAGTCTGTCTCTGCCTCCTGAGTGCTGGGATTAAAGGTGCTCGCCACCACGCCCAGCAATATTTCTTTTTAAAAATTTGGAGTGTGTGTAAGTGTGTATACTCATGCACAAGCACACATGTATGTGTGGAGGTTGCAGGGCAATTTGTGGGAGTTTGTTCTCTTCTTCCAACATATGGATTCTGAGAATCAAACTCTACTGACCATCTCACTGGCCCAATATATAAATACTTCGTTGACAGAGAGCACGCAGTTGCCATTTGCATGGCACGCTGTAAGCAAACAACAGAATGCTATTCCCGCTGCTGGGCATAGTCTAACTTTTCACTTGCATCTACAGTAGTGTAAGTGTCTGTGTATGGTTTCCCTTTTCCATCTATTTATTTTTATCATAATCCATTACTGGAGTAATAAGCAGTGATTTAATGTTCAGGGATCTGCAAATATTTTCAGTAGTCAATCAGACAATAAATACTTTAGATTTTACAGGCAATAAGGTCTCTATCACAGATATTTAACTTTATCATTGCATCTCAAAAAAAAACTCACACATAAACAAAAGAGGGAAAGAGTTCCAGTAAAACTTTACTTAAAAAAAAATAAGCAAAAACATTTGCAAAAGAAGCAAAGTTGAAGATTTACACCTACTCAAAACTTAGTACAAGGCTGCAATAGTCAAACCATGAGGTACTAGCATAAAGCGCACATGTAGAATAATGGAATAAAAAGTGAAGTAACCTTTCATAAGATATAATCAAGTTGCTTTTGCAAAGGTTTCAAAACTATTCAATGAGGAAATGACAGTCATTCAATTACTAATGCTGAGAAATCCACACAGAGAAAAAAGAAGCAGAATGTTTAATTAAGACCACATATAAAAACTGAGTCAAGCTGGGAAGTAGCAGCACGTGCCTTTAATCCCAGTACTTGGGAGGCAGAGGCAGGCAGACGTCTGTGAGTTCTAGGTCAGCCTGGTCTACAAGTTCCAAATAACCAGAGCTACACAAAGAAACCCTGTCTTGAAAAAACAAAACAAAAGAACTTGGAATGTTAAAAAATAAAAAGGACACAAAGTTAGGAGAACGTGGCAGTATGGGGGTAGATCTGGGAGGAATTAGAAGGAGGAACAGGGGGTCAATTCCTTCCTGTTGAATGGGCCTTAAAGAGTCTAATTAGACAGCTGTTGGCTACCTCAAGATAAAAGTGCCACCATTACATCATTGTGGATATCGTGCTCATCCAGTCATTGTTGTGGGTTATAGGCTTTTGCAGCTGGGCAAGACGAAAGATTGACCCTTTGCCTTGGCAGCTTGCATAGCACCATCTGATACTCTGAGACCTGCTTCTCAGGGAGGAGGTTTCCAGGTCATTTCCAGCTCAACTCTTCTAAAGTATGTGGTCTTACTTACCCATTGACTTTCCATCATGAATGAAGAAGAGGCTTTTTTTTTTTTAGAATAACAAAAAATATTTTACTAAAACATAAGATTTACAGACAAGCCATACAAAATGTTTCCAGCCATACAAAAGTTTCCAGACAAGCCATACAAAATGGTCACAAGCTTTTTCTTCTTCTTCTTCTTTTGGGGGGATGGGGCAGAGAATCTACACTTGACAGCAAAGTCACAATGTTATTAGTGAGGGCTGTGATGTTTATTTAATGTTCCCATTTTGGTTCAGACAATCAAGCTTGTCTATCTACAGCGTCTAAAGTTAGACTTGGCTAGAGAGCATATTCTAAGAAACTGGTTAGCTGCATTTAACCACTGCAATTAGATCCCATAAGAGGGGGAGGGAGAAAGGAAAACATAAAATTAAAATAAAACTTTCCCCCTAAAAAATAAAATAAAAACACCATACCCCTGGCAGCTAACCCTGACAACTACCTTCATTCACAGTGTTTTGTACTTAAACCATGATGGGGAAATGAATCCAAGCAGAGTCACTGCTTTTAAACACTTCACAACAACCCGGATGACACTTCTAGCCTCTGTTCATGCTTTACAACAGTGAATCAGGACAAGATATAGACTTGCTAATGTGCATGTAATCACCAAAGATGAAAATGCCTGGGCTTTTATTCTGTAATGTTTCTAAGACTGTGTCCATTAAATGCAAACAAAAAAAGGAAGAGTCTTGGCAGAACAGGAGAAATAATGTAGACTTGATGATCTGATCGACATAAATATTATTCATGGCATATAGTCATGGCATATAGTCCTAGTCCATGCTCTCGCTGTTTCTATGGCTTGGGCTTCACTGGTCTTCCACTGCTCGGCTACATCATTTGCTAACGGATCATCTGGATTAAGAGCACTTAACAAAGCCTGGATTGATAGCAGAACTGTGCGAATCTGCAGTGCTGGGGACCATTTATCTTTCAAAATATCTAAACATATTCTTCCCAACTTGTCTACATTAGGATGATAAATTTTGGTCATGAAACGTACTTTAAGTGCTGCCATTGGGTATTCTTCTGGAAGGAATAGTTCAAGTTTAAAAGTCCCTCCCTCAAAGGAGGACTCTTGGGGGCCAGCAATGACCACATGAAAATTACGGGCATTGCTCTCATCTGGTTCTGCTTTAATGCCGGGAACTGGTTCTGCCAGCAAACGCTGGGTTTCCTTGATGATCCTGCGGGGCAGCCCGGCCATCTTGTCAGAACCCGAGTTCGGCCTCTAAGAAGAGGCTTATAAGGCTCTACCACTCCCTGTAGAGCTATAGATAGTTCATTGTTGCTGAGGCTTGGGAGGGGGTATATTTCTTAGTGACATAGCCAGTAACTAATAAGTTATCCTTGCTAAGTAAAAAATTCCAACCATACTTACTCAATCAATTCTACTTAAATGTAGTGGGACATACACCAAACAAGGCATGAAAAGAAGAGGGAGTAATGGTAGTGGCAGGGTGAGAAGATTTAAGAGAATACTGTGAGGAATAGGATCAAAGTATATTATATACATAAGAAATTGTGGAAGCATAAACAAAAAAGAGAGATCTAGAGAGATGGTTCAGTGGTTAAGAGCACTTGTCCTAGAAGAAGAACTGGGTTCAATTACCAGAACCCACATAGTGGCACACAACCATCCATAACTCCAGTTTCCAGAAGACAGGATGCTCTCTTCTGACCTCTGTAGGCACCAGGCACACTCATGATACATACACATAAAACTCACACACATAAAATTAATAAATCTTGAAAAAAACCTAAAAGAGAAAGGCAGACAAGGGCAGGGAAGAGACCACAACATGGTGGTGAACACATTTATAAGCCCAGTATTTGAGGGGTGAACTCATTAATATCAGGAGTTCAAGACCAACATCAGGTCCATAGTGAATTGGGGACCCACCTGAGCTATGAGACATCCTCCACAAAAGAAATAGAAAAAAACCTACTAATTTTCTCTCCTTAACCAGAAAGTCCAGTACAAGAATATGTATTCACCTTGATTTCTTCCTTTCCATCTACAAGGCCACACATAACAACCCTCATCACACATGACAAAAGGGGAACTACACAGCCCAGAGAACACTGTAGTGCCAGGTCATCCCTAAATGGGCACCCACTTATTCAGAACCAAGAGAAGCACCTGCTGAATGATCAATGCTAACTTCCTGACACAGCAACAACAGGATGGTTTCCTTCGCAATTTTACTGCTAAGGGTCATTTGTCTCTTTGATAAATTTGTAGAAAGGAATGGGCTAGGAATCTGAATAGGAAGACAAAGGCAGTAGAATATTTCCACAAGTATGAACAATCTAAACATGGGGGGGGGTGGAAGATGTTGGAGTTTGAATAAGAATGGCCCACATAGGAGCATATATTTGAATGCTTAGTCAGCAGGAAGTGGAACTGTTTGAAAAAATTAGAAGGATTAGAAGATGTTGGAAAAGGAATGGCCTTACTGGAAGAGGTATATCATTGGGCTGGGCTCTGAGGTTTCAGAAGCCCGTGCCAGCATCAGTCTCTCCCTTCCCCTCATTCTCTGCCAGCCTGTGGATCGGGATTCAAATCTCTCAACGACTTTACTAGAGTCATCCACGCTGTCATTCTCCCTGCCATGATGATAATGAACTAATCTCTGAAACTGTAAGCAAGCCCCCAATTAAATGTTTTCTTTTATAAGAGTTGCCTTGGTTACGATGTCTGTTCACAGCAATGCAACAGTGACTAAAACAGAAGACTTACATACATTATTTCTAGGAATTTTACAATCACTAAAGAGTCAATATCTGTCTACTTACCATTAAATACCACAATTAATAAAATAGTCCCCTACCCTGTAGTTGCCTGTTGTTTTAAAGCCAGAGAGAGGTATCAGGGTTAGATTTGGAGCAAGGGCCATGTCAATCCTCAATCCACTCAGATTGCCTGCTTTTGAAAACTCCAGTTGGTTGCCTCCTTGGGGTGGGCGGGACATACAGAGGACAGACCTCCTCCCAGCACCTCAAGAGGACAGACCTCCTCCCAGCACCTCAAGTGAACTCTGGAGCCAAGAATGAGAGGGTCAAATGTGACCAGGGCACAAAGGGTACAAATCTTTGCAAGATACAAATGCCACTAAGTCCCATGCAATGGTGGTCACAACACATCAGAAAAAACAGCCCTTTCAAGAGAGAAGGGACAAGGAGAAACCCAAACAGCTCATCTGCTTCCTTTAAAAGATGATCAGATACATACACTGGAATGTTAAACTTCTAAATCTGTTCTGTGTGCCTGTTTAACCAGCACAGCAAGAGTAAAACTATCTATCCTAATGTCTTAGTCAGGGTTTCTATTGCTGTGGAGCAATACCATGACCATGGCAACTCATATAAAGGAAAATATTTAATTGAGGAGGCTCACTTACAATTTCAGAGGTTCAGTCCATTATCATTATGGCAGGAAGCATGGTGGCATATAAGCAGAAGTGGTGCTGCATGAGTAGCTAAGACCTACATCTTGCAGGCAACAGGAAGTCGACTGAGACACTAAGCAGTATCCCGAGCATAGGAAATCTCAAAGCCCACCCCGCCCCCCACAATGACACTTCTTCCAACAAGGATATACCTACTCCAGCAGAGCCACACCTTCTAACAGTGCCACTCCCTGTGGGTTTATGGGACCAATTACATTCAAACTACCACAACTAGTAACCTGAAGTGATAGAGAAAAAGCCAACAGAAGTCACATTACTTCCCCTCCTACTGGTGAACATACCGGAGCACAAAGCTACAAAGTGCACAAAAGCTCTCACAAAACTTCCAGAAGAACTTTGTAGTCCAGAAAAGGCAGTGGACAAAGCCTGGAGTTCCAGAGCAGACTGGGGGAAGACATTATTCTGGGAAAGCAAAGGAGGCCAGTAAGAGGAAAAGAGTTCTGTAAAATCCCAGGTTAACATATACAATACTAGGTGTAAATTCTTCTATAAAAATTATTTAAGTGTAATTAAAAAGTTTAAATGATTCTTTCACATCCTTAATCTTCCTAAGAATTTCTGATTTAGGAACAGAAAATAAGGCAGATTGAAAAAGAAATGCTTTGAAAGGCAAAACTAAATAATTAGCCTCTATACTCTAGCCTAAAGAGAGCAACATCTGAAGTTATATGTCTTGACAAAATGATAAACTCATTATCATGAGCTTTTTCAACTATTTCATTATTTAAAAAGCCTAAATGTTGACTCTGTTAATGTAAAGAGCCACAGAGTTAAATTTTAATCAGAGAAAGACAGGAAACGCTCTTTCAGACTGGTTATATTAAAAAAGAAAATAAGTCTTAGGTACATGCCTGTTGCCCCAGTATTTGGAAAGTGGCTGAAGGATTAGAAGAATTCAAGGTCATTTTGGTGGTTTGAATGAGAATGGACCCTAGAGGCTCACCTGTTTGTATGCTTGGTTCTCAGTTAGTGTAACTGTTTGGGAAGGATTAGGAGGTATGGTCTTTTTAAGTAAGTGTGACCTTGTTGGAGGAAGTGTGTCACTGGGTAGAGGCTTTAAAGCCAGTCAGTCTCTCTCTCTCTCTCTCTCTCTCTCCCTGCCTGCCTGCCTGCCTGCCTGAAGATTAGGATATAAACTTTCCGTGCCATGCCTGCCATGCCTGCCGTCATGTTTTCTGCCATAATGATCATGGACTAAATGTCTGAAACTGAAAGCAATCCCCAATTAAATGCTTCTTTTTTGAAGAGCTGCCTTGGTCACAGTAACAAAGGCAATCATCTTCTGCTAGTTCAAAGACAACCACAACTACATGGAACTCTAAAAGGAGGAGAGGAGAAAAACGGCAGGGAGGAGGAAGAGGAATAGCAACAGCTGCTGACTTGGGTTACACAGCAAGACTGTCTCAAAAACATAAAAAAACAGATACCAGGACTGATAGTACATGCCTGGAGTTCCAGCACTTGCAGGGGGCAGGGGAGCACAGGAGATGCTTAAGGCCAACCTGGGCCACATGAGACACTATCTGTAAAAAGAAGAAAAAGAAAACAAAAGAAAGGAAAACAGAAAAGGGTGGAGCAGGTAGCTGTGTGTGTGCGCGGGTGGGGGAATCAAGTGGTAGAGAATATTTATATTATGTATAAAGCAAAGACATATAGCTACATATGAAAAAATCTCTACAAATCAATAGGAAATGTGAAAAAAAAGTTCTCAAAAGTCAAAATGGTCATAGCATGAAAGGAGCTCAACATCTTAAATAATTTGAGAAATGCAAATACAGTTCACAATCTAAAACTTCCTCTCCCTAATTATTGGGAAAGAGTGTTAAAGGTCCTACTAAGTCATTCTAAACAATGGGGTCAATGTCTGGCACGCTTTTCTGATGCAACTTTGAATAACAATCTTTTGCCCCTGGCATCCCCAAACACTCTGACGCTTTGTGTCTCCAGCCTGGCAGAGGAAGGGAGGACAGGAACTGGTATCTAAATTGGCACTGCATCATCTCAAACAGGGAGGCTGCCATAAATTCTCACTTTTACTATCTTAACCAAAGGGCTAAGAAGTTATGACTAATAACTGAAAAATAAGTCCAACAATAAATAGTCAAGCATTCCCAGGAAAAAGCTTCCTAGTGAGTGGGAAGATGGTGCAGGACAAACTCAGAAAAGTATGAAACTGCAATTTAGCTGGGAGTGGTTATGCTAGCCACTAATCCCTTCACTCCTGAGTAGAGGTGGTGGATCTTTATCTCCAGGTTCAAGGCCAGCCTGATCTTCATAGATAGTTCCAGACCAACAAGAACTACAGAGACCCTATTGCAAAACAAACAAAAATAGAAACTGTAATTTAAGGAATGCTACTGGCCATCTACAGAGATGCCAATATGCTGAAACTCACCTGACTGAAAAGCAATGAGGAAGTTGATGACACCTTCCTTTTGGTCACAGTACCTGACTGCTTCCCCAGGCTCAGCTATATCACCTTTTCTGGTTCTTCCTAAAACAATGCCCATCCTTCCCGATCTTCATACACAAAAACAAAATAAAAGATTTAGAGTTTGGGTTCCCGAGTTTTCATTTTGTGGTCTGGAACTAAAAAGTTCATCAAGGACTTGCCCAAGATCACAGGAATTTAGAACATGGTTGTCTTGCAGAAACATGTTCCTGCTACTATTCAGCCTCTGTATTCTACAGAGAAGGCAATTCAAGGCCACAGACACAGCAGGGATCAAGGCAGCAGATGCCACTGCCCCAGCCATTGCTGCAT